GGGAAAAATTGTGGTTATTTTTTGAAAATTTAGGTATAAGGGGACAAATTTGCAATATTTTGTTTAAAAAAAGTGTATTTCCGAAAAAACACGTCCTTGGCAACACAGAGTTCATATAGGTCAAGGAAAATAAAAATTAAACAGAACTTTTCAAGGACTTTCAATGCCATAATAGGCAAATTTGGCTAAAGTTTGTTTATTACAACAATGTAAACAACATTAGCCAAATTTATCTATCTATGTACAAGGAAATTTAAGGACTAAAGGGCTGAAAAGAACTAAAGAAGTCATTAGAAATCAGTTTAGTATGAGATCATGTTAGAGTTTGATCTCGTAATAAACTGGAGAGACCTATTGAAAATTATCTCATAACAAACTGGATAGACCCTATGAAAAATTAAGCCAACAGACTCGTGCAACACTTGGGGCAAGTCTAATACAATACCACTATGTATTTTTACCTGTGCTTGCCGATGTTTAGCCACTCTTTTCCTCTTAAATTTCTTTCCAGGTTTTTCCACTGGTGTTTCAAAAAGTGGTTTTGGTGTTATTGTTGGTTTAACTTTTGTCGGTGTTGTAACCTCAGGTGTCAACCCTGCCGGCGTACTAATGAGATGACGAGGTATGGGTGATAATGGAAGTGGGGTAACCAAATTTTCAAACCCAAGCAAATCTTGATCAACGTCCATGCCTTCCGTCACTGGGGCAGGTGTTGAGCTAGAACTATCATTGTCTAAACTGTTTGTAGGTTTTTGTTTAAGTACTCTAGACCTTGTTGCTGTTTTTGTAACACGATTCTTGCCAGGATGCTCTAGTTCACAATCACCATCATAATCTTCCAAGCTCACTTTCTTGCTCTGGTGTCTTGGTTTTTGTATATCTGAGCCACTTGAAGGGCCTATACGGACAATACAGTCATTTCCATCATAAATATGCTTAAAATACTATTTTTCTATATTCCTAGTTGTTATAATACTAACCCCAAATTTAATGCTCCTAACCCAAACCCAGTGATATATTGCCCAGGGAAAGTAAAAATCATCACAGGTTGCCCGATCAGGCAAGTTGTTACAATGTTTTGGCAGTTTTGCCAGGAACTAATTGTTTACTTGGTTTATCTTAATGTTATGCATTTTCTTTTTGATTCTTTGTTTGTCAATCAGCTGAAATCAGCACTTCACAATTAAGTCTTCAAATGAATTTGTTAAGGAAAACATAAGATTAGAATGGTGATAAATCAATCCTTACTGCAATCATTTGCTTCAAATTTTCCAAATATGTGTGGGCAAAACTGGACCTGGTGGCAAGTGAATTTTATTCCAGGCAATGCATTTTTATGTCTAGTTAATACACCACTGAAACCCTAATCCATTTCAGGACAGTGAAACCTCAACTATTCTGTCATTGGATAAACATAGTCCAATTTGTTAAACCCACTGATCTATATTGAATTTCTTAAAGCCCACACAAATTTGCTACTTTTGACAATGTTTTATATACAATTATAAATATGTATAAACATTGATGTGAACATATTTTATAAAGAAATCTATAAAGATAGGTTTGATATATTTATTCTTTTATACAACTATAATTTGTATTGTCAATTTAGTATTATTATATTGATCAATCTTTGAATATTCCAACTCAATAATCGATCGTTCGCTTCAAAGTTCAAATAAAGAAATCATTTTAAAATCTTAAGTTACCTTTACTATCTACCGTGCTATTCTCACTATCATCACTTCGAATTCTCTTCCTTCGAGGTGGCATGTTTTAAATTGTCTTACATCTTTCTTTCTGATCAAAACAGCCGATTATTTTCAACGTTTTCAACGACAACACAACTTGAATTTCGCCATGTTTGAAAACGCGCGCTGCCGAAGGAATTTATAGGATTTGGTACCAGGCTTTGGCAGCGCCTGAAAATGGTTACGTCATTATTTTCGCAAATGATGACATAGTTTTCTAGATGACGGAATGACTATAATTTGCCTTTTTAATAATTAATAGCAGTCCGCAAAATATTGATCTAAAATCGGTTGATCTAAAATCAGTTGGATAATCCGTAATTGAGAAATTTTGTAAAGCACGGGGTTTTTTTTAGATTATTTTTGAGCGGTACTGACAACTGTTGTTTGGAAAATTCTGGCTTGCATTCTGGTCTAAAGTAAAGCGGCATTTCTACGTGAACAGAATATAGTTTAGGGGTACATTGTATAAAATAGTTTATTTCAAAATGCTGTTGCTACATACTGTAATATACAGGATAAAAAAGATTTATTTAAATATTTCAATTCGTTAGAATATATTGCCCCAACCCCACATGGTATATAATACATAAACATGCACCAAAAAATGATGTTCAATGAAGACCTTTGAACACTTCATAATCTCAGATAAGCATACACGATTTTTCAAAATTCTCCCATAAAGTAAGCATGATAAACCAAGCATGCTCCATCCAAGATTCATACCCCTAATTTCCCCAATATATTGAAGAACTTGGTACTACAACGTACATAATTTTCCGTATAAACATTATTCATGCCAGAACATTCACATCGTCTCCAACATGAACTACCCCAGGCTGATCCGCAATAAAAAACACTCCAAATAAAGGTTTCTTAGTCAATCTTTTATCGACATCCTTTACACCTGTACGTATTCTAAAAAAATAATTACAGAAAGATGTTGAGCTATTTGTATCAATTGTAAACCACGATGGTGACATTAAGGAGTAATGTACATTTTGAATCTTAATCCTGTCTAACAACCGACAATTTTTATGGTCTGATGTATACTAGAGACGGTTTATATTCCGTCTTAGTTGCGTAAAAATCTCCCAGCTTGTCAAGAAGATGTCGCACTGCTTGTTCCCAGTTGTTGACAAGTCTGGAACAAGTTGATATCATCTTGTAACAAGGTTGATGAGGCCAACAGACTCGCAACAAGTTGTTCCAACAGTCTGATATTGTCTGCACGTAACAAGTTGTTAACAAGTTGACAACAACAAGCTCGTAGCAACTTGTTACGAACAACCTGTATTAGTCTTGTTGCAAGAACTTGTAGCAACAACCTTGCAACAAGGTGATAACAACTTGTTCCAGACTTGTCACAACAACTGGGAACAAGCAGTGCGAACACATCCCGATGTCAGCTTGCAGCTCTGTTTGCAGATCTGCAACGACTTGCACGTTTTTACGTGTGCAGTTGAAAACACAAGTCGAACCACCCAGACGGACTAAGATAGAAACTTCGTCTAATACGAAATGGACTTTTATTCTGCCTAATGCCAGACTTTCGTAAAGCGCACTGAATAATTGAAAAGTACTGTAACATAAACAACCTCCTCAGTGTTGCAAGTGGTTCTCCATTCTTTTTCATGACGCCAGCATCAGGATCCACTGTTATCAATGGGCATCTAAACAGAAATGATATACCTTGGACAAATTGTTGTCAGGTCAGTGATGTTGTATAGCGCGTTGTATAGCGCTGATATTGTGAACAATGAGGAAGACAGGCTGTAAGACAGGTCTGAGCAGAGCTTTCAAAATTATGCTGAGTAGGTGGCTGTGTTGATGAAGTAGGTGGCTGTGGGCAAAGTCTAAGGAGCAGGGACGCCGGAACTGGGGGGGGGGGAGGGGCAGCCGCTCCCGTAGTCCTTTACCAGGAGGGGCAAAGGTGCCCATTTCAACTTAAAGGATTGCCTTGGCGAAATAGCGAATTGTCAGAAATTTTACGAATTTGCTTCAGAAAACGCAAGAAATGCAGTCATCGAGCTTCAAGAATAGCGCAATCGCCTGGCGGAGAACACCCCTATCATCCAATAAATAGAAAACATGATTAGGCGAAGTTCAACTCCCGATGTTTTGCAAACATCTCTTAGTATATATCAATTCAAAAGTGCCCTTTCACGAAAACCCCCCCCCTTTGCCTTCACATCGTTCCGGCGTCCCTGTTAAGGAGTCTTAAGGTGAAGTAATACGGGCAACAAAATTAACCAAATCATAATATATCCCTATCACTACTTTCATTCTTCAAGATTTAACATGGAAAAACAGGAAAATAACTAAATCAGTTTTACGAAATAGTTCGTCGTTTTAGAAAATAACCAGACTACATAAAACAGACCAGGTTGAGGAAAAATAACTTTCAGTTGTTTGAAAGCTTAGAGTGGAGGAAGGAGAGCAGAATTGATGTGAAGATCTGGAGCAGAAAGCGAATTAAGTAAAAAAAGTAGAAGTAAAAATTAGGTGGTTTGGATAGTTTTATTAATTTGAAGTGAATAATTACTCAATGTACCTAGAGCAATTTCTGAATTTTCTTAAAGTAACATCGCCAATGGTGACAGTCTTCCACGCATCTTCTTCAAACGCGTCACCACCCTGGACAACTATACTTGGGCGAAATGATCTCATATCTACTGGACTGTTACTCAACTCCTCGTTGAGTGCAGTTAAAGAATCTTCCGATGTTAATAATATAGGCGCGAAATTTGAATAAATAACCTGTAATATATGTTTTACATATAAGAAGATAAAATTCCAGTGTTATTGCAAGAGAAAATCTAAACTAAACAAAATTTTTTCTACTGTTAGTTCCAGTATTACTTGTTCTCTCTAGAGGTCTAGTAAGGTCCACCCAGCTCTTATTGGTCCAGTGTATTGCAGGAAGAAACCAGAAGTCTGGATACATTCTATTTTTTTCTTACAGGATTATATGTCTGTCACTTCTATGGTCGGTATCACCTCTATGTCAACCAAGTAGTGTACATGTCCAAAACATATTTCTCCATACGCTGATCATTTCGGTATTATATACTTTTTCCGAACATTTTGGAAAAATTCTTGGATCCGCATTCCAGTACTTTTCTGTCCTTAGCCTCAAATGCTACATACTAAATCGAGACGCTTGCGTTTGGACTCTGATGATGCAAAATTGGAAATTGTCAATGCGGATGAAAAAAAATTGACGTTGTGTTTAATTTAAAATATGTTTCTCGCAAATCATTTTTATATTCACTTTTTCAAAACTTTTAAAAAATTTTCTTGGGCACAGGTCGACACTTTTTAAAATCTGACCCCACCCCACCCCTTTTCTAATTATCTTCAGCAAGGTTTTGGTTAGGGTTGGTTCACTGTCATAACTGGAGAAAATCTAAACTTATAAGCTACTAACTTTATTTATTTACTCTGACCAACAATACTGAGTAAAGTTGAACTATAGATTCCAATGACTGACCCTATCACCATCCTTGGTCGCATCCTGCCAGACGGGATCCAGTCCTCTACGTGTCAAGTTTTTGTTTTGTCCATTGTATAATCTTAGTCCACTTTTTCGAAGAAACTTGTCAAACCACTCAGCTGCCTCGTCTCCACAGTCTAAACCTTCACCACTTGTTGAAAATAAGCTTAAAGAAAAGTAAAGGTATCTAGAGAGTTTGCATTTGAGAAGCATTCTTCACATTTAACTCCACCAAACACCACAGGTTCCTTCAGGTACTCCATTTTCCTACTGTTATAACAACAGATTAAAGGATGGACCTCTCTATAAGGCCTCCAGGGAGAACATTTTAGAACTAGATCTATCCAGTTTAAATAAATTAGTTTAAATTTACCAATTCAACACTCCAAATTATAATACAGCAGAGCACCACTGGGATATTTAATAGTGTACTAAAGACAGTCAAATATGAACCAATATATGTCACTGACGATTATGACAATTAATAATATTCTTGATTATGATAGCTGACAAATAGCACTAACAATAAATATCATTGATCATTATAACAATTAATATATAATTGATGAGGATTATAACAAAAAAATATTGATGGCTATATGATAATCCATAAACATCATTGATTACCATTACAATCAATAAATAGCATTGATGATTATCAATGAATATGATAATCAATATATATATAATTGATTATTATCAATGATTAGAGTGATCAATATCATTGATGATCATGATAATCAATAATATTGATCATCTCTCCAATCACATACTTAAGCATCACTCTCTCTCTGGTGTCTTCCTCCTCCATATAAATATCTAACTTGAGTGTTGGCATACCAGGTGCATCCAGACATAAATATCTTCCATCTTCAAAAGAGGGCCGCACCAAAGCAAGCTTGGGTATGGAAATCTGGTTTTGGTAAATGCCTTTTGAGTTCATCAACACCCACGTCCTAATTAAAATAACATCAGAGACAACATTCAGAAAGGCATTAAATTGAGGGATATCATGAATGATCTTGCATGGCAAAGGGTAAATTTCATATGATAATTTGTCTGTGTATAAATGTGGGCAAACAGCCAATTCACCAGGGAACTAGATAAATTATCTGCATATTTCATATATTAATCATTAATGTAGTGCTCAGGGTTTTGTTGCAGATGAACTGTAAAACTTCAGCTGCATAGTAGCTAATGACCAAAATGAACACAAACTTGGTTAGATGCAACAGGCCATAGTGGAAAGTGTGTAGTACATTAATTAGGCTGCTGCAGTAGTCTGCCACGAGGCCATGTGACAATGCCTTTAGTGACTAAGCTGACCACTTAGCACTATCTTCTCACAATTTAGCCATGTGATATTCATAACAGGCAAATATCTAATTTGTATTACAACACAGTAATTCAACGGTTAATAGACCTAGAGTCTATTAACTTAATTATTAGAGTCTAGGTCTATTAACCGTGATCTTACCTATCCAGCAATGGACCAACTTCTTCAATCTTGACTTGATCCAATTTGATACCTGCACAAGACTTGACCGGATAGAGATACAATGACTTGACTACACCTCTCTTGCCCAGCTTCTTGTGATAGAAACATTTATATGCAAACCACAGAAGGCCAAGACCAAATACAACTGAACTGCCCAGTGTAAGAATTTTCGTCTCCTCATACATTTGTATATTTCTAATGCATTCAATTAGAATATAGATATTTTAATTAAATATGCTCTAAAGGTTTTCAAATTATTGCAGGTGGTCGGGGTGAAAGATAAATATTGAATACTTGGTTTTGAAGTAGTGTGAATATGAATATTGACGGTAGAAGTATGAATATTTGAAGTGGTAATAAAAATATTGATGGCAGGGATAGCAGGGAAAAAATATTAATAGGGAAAAAAATATTCCTCTTCCACCGGTACTTCCATCTAGTTACGATTCAGCGTAGTTATTATAAACTTGAATAAGAATATTGCAGCCTTTTCATTTTCGTTGTAAAAAGCAGTTGCTTCGTTTGAAAATCTTACTGTTTTTCCACTCATTGTTTTGAATTATTTTTAACTTTTATCAAAAGGCAATTTACCCAAGCAAATTCAGATTATACTGTACAAGCAATTTTGTTCCTCGTTCAGTACGTGATTCTACAATCATAATAATCATAGACTATTTATATGACCTATTATACATATCTTTAATACATAATGCTACGTACCACAAATATTAAACGAAGGTCTAGATCTCTTGTCTGTAATTAAATCTGTAATTTGACTAATTATTTCACAGTAAAAAAAAAGAAATATTAAAATATCTTACCGAAAAGTTTATATAGTATAGTCCTTATATAAATTCGAATAGTCCATAAAAAATTATTTATTTACATGTGCCGTTCAGAAATACGCTAAATACCGGGGGGGGGGGGGGAGA